AACCCAGTTAGCAGCACCTGCACTTTAACAAGATCACTGCTGTCCCTACACAAACTTGGGGAACCATACACTGGGCCACCTACATCAAGATGACCAAGTTATGTCAGAATTTTCTTTAGTCTATTTACTTACTTCCCACCACTAATTTGCACCCTTCTCCACACTGCATTAGACTCCATAGAAAGCACTCTCCTAGGCAGGCAGGATAGACTGATAACAGGACCAAGTGGAAAACAGGAAACAGCCCCTGCACTTCTGTCCCCTTAAGAAAGACCACCACAGACAAGTACACTAAGTGGTTGGGGGGATGCTGGCAAACACACACATCACCCAGACTTGGGCATGGCCAGGCTCCCCAAACTGAGGTCTGAGCCAGAGTCTTCAGAAAGGGTGTATCAAATGTCATACCAAACAAGACATAGCTGCGCTGGAGATGAGAGTGATCCAAGCAGCCAGTGCAAAAGCCACATGCAAGGAAGCAGGGAGGCCCAGCTCTAGAAGCAGGTGAGGAGCCTGGCTGGGGTCAGGAGTGCAGCTGGACAGCACTGAGCCCATTCAGACCAGTCAGAAGGCTTTGGTTGTACTACTCCAGGCAAGATGACTACTGCGGAGAGGTGTTTAAGATTTGAGAGCTATCAGGAGCCACAAGAATAGGAACTGACTCAACTGTGTTGAGAAAATGGGCAGAAGAGGCATAACCCAGGCAGGCTCCTTTCAGAAAACTGCACGGACTGCTGTGGGCTGGCACTTACCAGTGGTGGGAGAGGAGAGAGATGAAAGTGGGTGAGGGGGAAGTCATGTACCACGTCACTCTACCACAGTTTCAGGGCAGGAAAAGAATGGAATGGAACCCCACTCAGTACCATTCTTACTGAGGTCTAAGTTGTTCCCTGGGCTGTGCACTCAAAAGACATGGTCACTCCTCTGAAAAGCATTTAGTACCTTCTGGTATGGATTTATAGATATCTAGGCATTTATATAATTACAAGATACATGTATATACTTATAAATAAATTTTCTTTAGTCTATTTACTTACTTCCCACCTCCTAACTCCTGTCTCAGCATCATGACATCCATGAGAGTGGGTCCAGACAGTGCATAAAGACAGACATCATGACCGTAAGTCAATTAGCCCCTCAAATTATCAGACTGGACGGCCATGATCCCAAGAGTGGCAGGGGACCAGCAAAGTATTTCCCAAGGAAGCTATCAGACCCTGGAAACCCAACTAAAACATCTGTTGAAAGAACAAGAATATAGTACATGTGTTGCTGTAAGAGGAAAGTCAAAGACCAGGTCATTCTTCTCCTGAGCTGATTTTAAGGCATGTGGATTAGCTAAGCCTATACAGAATGTATCTATCCATTAAGATGTGCCAAGTACTTGTGAACCTCTGAATTGTTGCCCATGAAATCTGTTCTCGGGCATGAACACCTGAAGGGAGGGAAAAACAACAGGGAAACTGGTGTAGGCTGAGAGAGAGAAGACGTCACGCGAGCTGAGCTTGATGGAGAAGCAGGAGCTGGCTGGGCAGAAACAGAAGAGGAGACAGTTCCAGAAGAGGAAGCCACAGGTGCAAAAGTGCTGAGAGCAAAGAGCTGTGGGTGTCCGAGGCACTGAAAAGTCAAAATAACTGCCCCACGGCTGAGTAAGAAGCCAATGGCCTGAGGCTGGAGACAGTGGGAAGCTAGATCAGGTGAGGCCCTGGAGGTCACATTAAGGATCTGCAATTTTACCCAATTCTAATGAGAAGCTACTGGGGAGTTTGAAGGAGAATAACATAGGATTTATGTTTTTACAAATTCACTTTGACAGCTGTGTGAAGGATGAACATATGAGGAAAAAGGAACATCAGATCAGAAGCAACTCCCATGGCCCAGAGAAAGATGAGGGTTGCTTGGGTCAGAGTGGATGCCACAGACAGGAAGAGAAGGTAAGGAATTCAAGATATATTTTGGAGATAGTACCATCAGCATAAAAAGATGGATTCATTATACACGGAAGGAGGTGTCACAGAAGGCATCCCAGGTCTGTAGCATGAACAAGTGATGGCGTGTGGGGCAAGGCCAGGAGGGGATCCAATATATTTATTAAACAGGGAGGATTTGGGGAGAACAGGTTTCACAGGCAACAATTCAGAGGTTCACTTCTGGCAGGTAAGCATAAGATGCTTATGAAAAATACAAATGTAGGTATCAAGAGCCAGCTGATCCACCATTGGAGTCTGAGATGCAGAAGAGAAGACTGGCTACACAAAGAGCTATCTAGATGGGTGGATGGAGGTGGGGCGGGTGTGGGTGGACACAGCTTAAAATACTGATACAGAAAAAGCATGACTTGAACCACAGGACCCAAATCATACAAATGAACTATTAATAGTACATTCAATCTCAGTGTACTACGAAAAGACATAGAAAAAATAAACAAACACTTACTCCTAAAAACCAAATCTCTGACATCTCTTTCATCCTTCCCAGTCTTTTAAAAAGATAAAACAAATAGTGCACATATGATACAATCAAAGAACTTTCCAAGGAGAGTTTTCTGCACTCAATAGCCTGGCAATCAAAGATGGCACTGTGAACACTTACATTTACTTCAATATTCTGAATTAAAACTGCCTTCAAGCCTAGAAAATCATGGTACGGGGGGGGGGGGCACGGGGAGAACAGTGTAGCACAGAGAAGGCACATAGTGGATCTGTGGCATCTTGCTGCACTGATGGACAGTGACTGCATTGGGGTATAGGTGGGGACTTGATAATATTGGTAAATGTAGTAACCACATAGTTTTTTCATGTGAAACCTTCATAAGAGTATATATCAATCACACCTTAATAAAAAATTAAAAAGAAAAAAGAAAAAAGTTTCAGTTTAAAGTATACAAATATAGGTCTGTTCTATTATTTTTAGCCTGTTCTAGTAAGTATTTTATGTCATCTTAAATTGGGACACTGCTGGGTTTTGAGGTTAACGTGACTGATAACACCAAATCTGACGTTTAGAATGTCTAACTGCAAATGGTGATCTATATATTCTTTGGATTTGTGCTTTTTACTTTGCGTTTATCTAAAAGTACTAATTTTTATACTCGAAAATAACCAATTCAGCCGATTCCTATACACCAACATCTTTGTCTTTATCACACAGAAAAAATTAATCAGAATAAAAATCTTCCTGTCTTGGAGCAAGCAAGCAAGCCAAGAAGGCGGAGAGGAAGTGCACGAAGCTGCCTGCACACCGCGCTCATTTCAGAAGCACTGTGCTCGGCCCTGAGAAGGGGACAGGGCAACATGCTCCTTAGTGTTGCCAAAACCTCTTCTTACACAATCTAAGAGCAAAACCATTCATCTGAGAGGACAGCCTGCTCTGGCCCTGCACAGAGACTGATTCTGAGCTTGATGCTGTCCCTACCTTTTCCTCTGCCCCATATGTGTGGGGCTCTGCTCTCTTGTCCAACCCTGACCTCTATCAAGATGGTATTTCAATTAAAAAGGCCTCTATTCATTTGCTCTTCCTGTGGGCAAACACAATGGAAAATACGGTGCTTCAATCAACTGCTTCGGGATGAGCAAAAACACTACAGCCTTGCTCTTCTTCCAAAATTCGTATTTCTAAAATCACTTTGAATTTTTAAAAAGTCCAGTCGCTATTTAATATCCCACTGCTTCTTGATTCACAGATCTTGAATCTAGCCTAGACTGTGAGTGAAGTCAAAGCCTTACTGTTGAGGATCAGCGCTAACAGAGAGCTGTCATACAGGAGAGGGCGTGCTGATATAAATAAATGAATCCCAGACAAGTCTAGGAAAAGATCAAAATTTTCAATAAGTATGGAACTCTGCCTCTGAGCACTCATTATTGATTATATTCAGTTATACGATTCAGTCCTGAGATGAGAAACTGCAGTTTTTAAAAGTTCCCATACTCCGACGTTCTTTAAAATTCAAGAGTTTGAATTTAACTCACAAAAATCTTTACTCTAAATATCTAATTACATTAATAAGTGGCAGGTGCTTTGTTTAGAGAACATCATACCAAGAGCTCCAATATCACATGTCAAAAATGTCTGAAAGCCTAGACAAGAATTAAGAGATGCTGACAACTTCCTAAGGAAAGCCGGTTTGACCGGGAAACTGCCGTTTGTGCCAATGCACCAGTATCCTGGGGCAACTACGATGTTTGACCCAGACACCAAACTGAATCAGTCTAAAACTCTACTCACGATACTGTAGGTCTTTACCCAGTGCCAGTAACATGATATTTAGATTTATATATTTTAAATAAGAAATATTTTTATTAAATTCTTCATTGAGGATTCTATCTTCCAAGTTTAATATTCATTAGTACATAAGGAAAGCAGCTAAATGTTTTGGTTTTATTCACACATGAATTACATGGCATTTTTAACTTCTAACCATGTTTCCCAAACACTATCTTGAACATTACAGTGAAAATGTACCTGGTATTTATACTTTTATATGAATAAAAACCTTAACATTAAACTAGAAAATTATTTATTCAGAGTATTGCTGACCCTTAGCAATAAGCCCATCTTACAATATGGAGTATCAAATTAATATACAACCTTTATAGTGGGTAAAGGAAACCAATTTCTTAAATAAGAAAGTCCACATTACTCTTTTTTCATACAGTCTTATGTAAGCTAAAGTTAGTATTTCATTCTTTAAAAAGTTCTGTATCGCAGAATGGATATGAACATCTTAAAACAAAATAAAGCATAGAAATTTAAGAGACACAGGACAGAGCATAAACAGTTTACTCACTTAAAATGCACTTTCATAAAAGTACTTTATTTACTATTTGAAAAGCTATCTAGGCTTTATGCCAATAGTTGCAAACCACATCAACTTCCATTTTTCCATAAATGTAATTATAACTCTATTTGAAATAAATTCTGAAAAACTTATCCACCTTTTTAATGCAAAGGCATGAATCCGAATAAAATTTAAACCAAACGTATTCTTAAGTAATTTATACCTTTAGCCCAACACATTGGAAACGGACTACAGCCACTCTTCTCCATACAGATGGCACCTGCTGGCCTCAGGGCCGCTCGGCCTGCCAGTTCCAACAACATAGACTCAGTCCTACAGGGATCAGGCCAGGCGTCCGCACGCCAAGTCCCGGTTCATCGCTCCCACAGGGTTTGCTTCCATCCACAAGCAGGACCAGGCTCCCCTGTGTGCTCCTTTTTTTTTCAGAGCTCGAAGCAAAATTTGGAAGGTGTTCCTTCTGCAATATTTTCCAGCAGCTTGAAGAATGACTCTCAGTTACAGTATCTTCTCATGTTTCCGCAATCTGAAACACAGACCATCCTGGCCAGATTAAGCTACGGAACAGAATGAAACCAGCTCGTAATGTGACCCCACGGGTCTGTGTTCCTAGATTCATTCAGGAGAGAGAGGGAGGAGACGAGGGGACAGAGGGTGGAGAAAAAGTAGGTCAGTAGCCAGCACCTTTTTAACATGCTAATCCCACCCTTCTGTTCAATTCGTCTGGCAGACTTGTGTTTACAAAACTGACAGGCGACTCTAAAATTGAGTGAGCTGCAAATCAGGTCTGACCCAGATGTCTGTAGATGGCTCCTCCAAATATTTTTGTTTTTTAAAGTCATGCGTTTGGCTTCTTACCAATCTAATTCCGACCTTAGAGTTAAAATAATTACCTTGATGAAATATGAATAATTTGGGGGGAAAAAAATCCTTAAAAACAAGTGTGTAAAAAAAAAATGTCTGTAAGAACCCAAATATTTCTGAGGTAAAATATTTTTCCAAATAGGTATTTTCGTAATAAGTTTGCAAACGTATAAAACTATCTAGAAAACACACTAAGCATATAAAAAGAATATGAGGTTGCTAGATTCTTTTTAAATTAGCTTAGGGAACCCTGAGGGATCCAATATGCATGATTTCTTAGCTTCAAAATATAAGTGGGTAACAAACTCCTACTGAAGTAGGACAGAAAAATGCTCTGTACTAGTAACTTTTTTTTAATGCAAAGCTACTTAGTTTTCCACTCAAACTGAGAGATAGTCAAGGTCATCTTAAAAATTTAGCTCTCTGAACACATTCCACTCTAGCAATAAGATAATAAGAGGCTCCTGGAGCCTTGTTGTCTGAGCATATTTAATACACATTCAAGCCCTGTATATTACAGCTCTCCTGATATATGGGTAATTTTGTTAGTAGTAAATTCCATAAACTAATAAAAAATCAAGTACTTTATTTAACTGCGAACATGACTGAGGCTTTATGAATTCACTAACTACTGAAAACAAGAGCTAAAAAAGGCTGAAGAGAACAAGAGGCCTATCTATCCAGTGACGTCCCAGGACAGTGTGTTTCATTTCTAACACACTACTCTCGGCGATGGCTTTGTCTCTGTGTGTAGCATTCAGGATCTTAACAGCAGCCAGAGCTCACGTGACCTCTTCTATCCCCCAGTGAAAATACATCATTCACCAGAGTGAACTCTGACCCTAGGCAACACTAGGAGGAAAAGGACTCCAGAAAAACACAGGCAAGCCAGCTAGAAGAGGAATGAGCAGACACATCAATGAGGATACATAGGAAATACCCTCAGCTTCCACTGACAGATGAGAGAGCCCAGGACAGAATGCCTCCCGCTGTCGTGGGAAGAAGGATCCACGCACCATGAGCGAGTCAGATACCTGACCCAGATCCCGGAGAATGGCTTGGAGGTTGATCTAAACCATCAGCTAACAGACTGTACAAACAACCCAAGCAAAATGCTGAATCTCTCTTGGAACTTGAAACTCAAAAAAGTTAAGAAAATAAAGCTACCTTTACTAGGTATAATGTTCTACATACTAAACACTGGTCATATGTAATTTTCACATTTTCTGAGCAGAACCCATCTGTAGATAAGTAAAGTGCTAACACATCTGAAGATAAGTAAAGACAGGGTCATACACCTAGGAAGAGGCACACCATCCCTGAGCCCACCTGTCATCCACCCCCACTTGTCTCCACACCCACTGCCTGACGCTGGCCCAGGCTGTGCCACTCAGGCTACAGCCATACACATACCCCAGAAGAGGTTTTCAAGCCAGACTTCATAGATGCCACAGCACCACCTGCCCAGAAAAGAGAGGGGCTGGTACAGGCAGTGGTGACAGACGCAGAAGCTAATGCCCAGCCATGGAGGAATAGATAAGAGGACAGACTTGGGAGCTTTTTAGGACATAGAAAGTGAGCGTGGAGAGTGAGGGAGGGAAGCCAAGTTTCTGACTTTGAAGTAACCAGAGGATGACAGCTTTCTCTCCCACCCAGTTAAGCTAATCTATATTTTATTTCAATATCAAGCATCACCTCCTGATAGGCAAAGTTGCCCAGATATAAAAGACAAGAAACAAAGATGCATAAATCCCTCCAGGTCACAAGCAAGGCGCAGATGGAAGAGCAGTAGCCACGCAGAGCTCAGAACCAGTCGGCCACTGAGAAGCACACAGGCGGCCTGAGTACAGGAGGCGAGGGGGCGGGCAGCACAAGGAGCTTCTGTGCTGGCTGCTCCGGCAGACGCGCCCAGCCTCATCCCTACCACCACCACAACCACTCAGCTCTTCCCTGTTTTTACAGGACGGAAAGGTGGAGCAGTTTGCCTCACGCCAAAAACCTAAGAAATTACAGGAGTACTAGCTAATTTGGTGATACTGTTACTGCTATTTTCTTCTTGCTAAATATTTAAAACAAATTATTCTTTTACATTCCCAATCCAGCGACTCCTTGAAAAGCACAGCAATATCCTACAGGTAAGGGCAACAAAAGGGAAAAGTACCTTTATGTTTTCTGTATACTACTGTAAAAGCCATCATTCATTAAAGAGTTCTGGCATTTTTTAAACCCTCTTCAGAGTATCAGGACACTTAAAAGCTGACTCTGCTAAGTCCTGCTTAATAAGTAAACTTCTAATTAAAATTTACAAAATACTATTTGCTCAGACCCCAAACCTTAGTCACCCTTGACTCCCCCCTGTCTCTTACCCCAAAGCAATCCATCAGCAAAATCCATCATCCTACCTTCAAAATACATCCCAACAGTGTACTTGTCTCCACACCCACTGCCTGACGCTGGCCCAGGCTGTGCCACTCAGGCTACAGCCAAATGCCACCTCCTGGTTTCTCTGCTTCTCTCCTGCCCTATATGAACCAGCAGCTGCACTGACCCTGTCAAAACACCAATCACACCACTGCTCTCCTCTGATAAAAGTCACCTGTAGCACCCCAGTTCACCCAGAGCAGGCACTTGGACACTTCGCATGGTCTGCTGGGCCTGCAAGAGGGGGCTCCCCTCAGGTCTACATCCTACATGTCATCATCTGCTCACCTCCCACTCCTTCCCCAGGTTTTCTCAACTCCAGCCACACTGACCTCCCTGCCATTCTCTGCCCATACCAGGCATGTACCCACCTCTGGGCCCTAGCGCAGTCTGTCCCTCTAGGCAGGACACTTTGCCCCAGATATCCACAAGGCTCACGCACTTTCCGCTGCCCATCTTTGCTCAGACGTCACCTATCCACAGGCCTACCCCGACCACCTTATCTGCACTCATGCAGCCCATGCCCTTGCCCTGCTTCACTCTCCCCAGCACTTACACTTCCTACAGGACCTCACGATCTGTCTTCTTGCTGGCCAGCTGCCCCCACTACGATACAATTTCCATGGCACGAAGGAATTTGTCTGCTCTGCACATACTGTCCCCAGGGCCTTATTGCTAAGATAGTTAAGATGGTAGGCCATTTTCCACACCTTCCTCTATCACCTTCAGGTAATGAGGAGATGGCAGAGGGAATCTCTGTCCTATTTAGAGGCCCTGGCCACAGAGAAGGTATCCTAAGATGCTCCAGATGTCAGGACCTGACACAGTTCAGTGACGGCACTGCCTGCCTTGGTCTTGAGTACCACTTCACTTCTAAGACCCAGTACTGCTCAGGGGCTTGTTAAGTAGCTGCTGGGTAAGTGAATTAAAAAGTATGAAAACCTTGCTTTTTCAAGAATGTAAGAATGGAAAAAGAAAAATTGACCTAAAATCTAGGAAAACCATAAGTACGGCCTCTCCCCATGCCACATAAAAAATAAATCATGTAACTGTAATATGATGGCACTCCTCTCAGAACTTCCACTGACAATTTTAGTGGAGCAAAAATCAAAACCGTGTGAGACTAGAGAAAAATCATTAGAAGACTACCAAGCAATGCTATGAGTAAGCAGAGAGGGGAATTCTAACACCGCTCATACACTGTACAATGTCATCCAATCTGGCTTCCCTACAGAAACTGAGAAAGTTACTAGGAAAGAACCATTCAGAAACAAACTGCTTATAAATGCCAGCAATGGCAGACCACAAACATGCAAATCTGACTTTCACGTTCCTCATGCAGTTTTCATGTCTTTGTTTATCTTTTACCTTAAGTAGTAACACCAAACTGCAGGGCAGTACTTCCTGGAAGAGTAAAGCCCTGGTAAATGAGTTTATGTCCGCGAACAGAAAGGCTATGAAAGAAAACTCATATATATCCATAATTCAAAATCCAACTTCCCTTCCCTTTTATGTTTGCATTAACTAGAGTTACAGATTTAAAGAGGATCAACACATTTACAATATAGTACCTCCATTAGCAACTGGCCATTACAATGTACGCTAACTTCTGGAAGTCAGGTATCCTACCTACGTTAAGCTAACTTCCATAGAATGATCACTTCTATGTCACTGTACTCAGTTTCCACCCAAAAACAAACAGTTTTTTGAAAGTTGTAATCTAGCAACAAAAATTAAGACTTGGTAAGGACTAAAGAAATTTAGTCATAAGCAAAGATATGATTCACTTTCTGAAAACACAGATAATAGGTCTTGAAATACAACACAGTCCAAAAGGTGATGGTATTGGTATATTTGCTTTCCTAGCAAAGTTTTGTAATTATTATACCTCCCTTCTGTTACTCTGGCGGAACTCTGGGAAAGCTGAGAAAGGCACTGAATTTGCACCTGGAAGATGCAAAGGAGTCACAGTTCTCTGTGACATAGAGAAAGCCCCATTTCAGCATTTTGCACTTCAGTCTGTCCATCTGTAAAGCCAGGATGACAAAACCTACCATTACAGAGTAGTGAGTATGTGTCAGTCACAAATCAGCATAACAGCAACACTAAAAATAATGGGAATACAATAATAATGACATAATGGTGATACTGAGTTAATGCTTTCTATGCACAAGGCTCTATTCTAAGAAATTCTATAATACTGACTCACTCAGTTATCAACAAACAACCCCAGGAGATAGATTCCCTTACTCCACTTCACAGATGAAGCAATCAAAGCACAGAAAGCTAAGTAACTTGTTCAAGGTCACAAAGTTTCTAAGGAG